ACTGCAATTCTCAGGATTCCCTAGCACTGAGTCAGGTCAGTTAAAGCAGTATCAAACTGGATTGTTTTTGCAATGTGTTTTGGACCATAGTGGATCAAATTGCAGTACGTAATCCTGTCATTATTGGAGGTTTAGAGATGTAAAAAAAGTTGCTACAAGTTGAATCAGTTGTTGTATTTTTTACATATGCCTGATGGTGTCTCAGTAACCTGTAATCCTCCAAATGTATTGGACTACAGTTCCCACCATGTTAGCATAGCCATTAGATATGCTGGTTGGGAATGATTAGTAGTGTAGTATAAAATATCTGGAAGGTGTCACATTAGGGAAAGCTGCTGTAAGATGAATGGTCCTCTTCTTTTGAAATCTTGCATGCTGGAAATGTAATATAAATAATGTATTTCTCTAACAAATTACGGTAGTGATCTGTGAAATATGGTTTTAAAAGTAGCATCTCGTTATAGGAATATAAATTACACAGACCTAATGGACCTAATGGAATTGCCTGTTAAATATCCTTTATATATCTTTTCCTGTTAGTGTGTGTCCTAAACCTGTTTGGACTTTTTATTGTTGTTAATTTAAGGTTATTTGTGGAACTGAAATGAATAAAAGTTTTTTTAAATATTGTAACAAAAAAAAAGTTTCCAATAATGACATGTTGCATTTTTAAAAAAGAACATTTATTATCCCCTTTTCATTCAAATTATTCTTGATTGGAAGCAAAAAGTTAGTAAGAGGCCGAGTCTCCCTTACCGTATTTGGAATTTCAAAATCTGAAATACTCCAAAACCCAAAACTCTTTTTATGGGTGGCTGAGCTAATGACTCCTTTGCTTTCTAATGATCCAATGTGCACAAACCTTGTTTCATGCACAAAGTATTTAAAAACATTGTATAAAATTACATTCAGGCTATGTGTATAAGGTTTATGTGGAACAAAAATGAATTCTGTGTTTAGAATTGAGAGCCATCTCCAAGCTTTCTCATTATGTGCATATAGGCAAATACAAGTATTCCAAAATCCCAAAACATCTGAAATCCAAAACTCTTCTGGTCCCAAGCATATTGGATAAGGTGACTCAACCTAGTCCTCATTATCCCAAAATCTTATTTTAAATATCTTAATTTAAGCACTATATTGTCATCTGTATTTTAATACAGGGGACCCTTGGTATCTGCTGGTTCCAGGACACACACACACACAGAGATGACAAATCCATGTGTGTTGAAGTCCCATTAAATATAGTGGCATAATAAAATGGTGTCCCAAATATAAAATGGCAAAAATCAAGGCTTGCTTTTTGGGATATATATATATATATATATTGAATATTTTAAAGCTGTGGATGGTTGAATCTGTGGATACAGAGGACCAGCTGTATACATGCATAGGACTGCAGTGTTAAGCTAGAGAATTTGAAACTCTGAGCATGTGGCCCAAGCTCCCATTTTGCTAGACTAGGATGGAGGCAGACCATATTAAGATAAGCAAGGACAAGACCTTGCACTTCTGTGTTGGACTCAAATAAGGTATCTCCACTTGTTTTTAAATTCTTAGACTCTGCTTGATTCTCGAGTAGAATTTTTTTTTAAAAAAAGAATTATTTTATTTATTTGTTTATTTTTTATTTCAGAAGTATGGAATACATTTGTGTGAACAAAATCATAACACAGAAAGTGGCTTAATGTGATATTGGCAAGGGATATTATTATGACAGGGTGACATCTGCTGGTTATAAAATAAACAGTAAACATACAAGATTGGGAAGCTGGAATTGCAATGTATGTGCATGTGACTACACAAGCATGCATACCATCATTTGCTTGCCAGTGTTGAAGAATGTTGCTTAAAAATGGGGCAAAGGATTTGCATTAAAGTCAGAGAAGTGGAATTTCTAAATGTTAGCTTCCTAAATTTTAAAGATTAATATTGAATGAATGCATTTATTAGTAGTGGCATCTGTCTCTATCCTAATATGTACATGGGAGTATAATACACTCATCCCTCCCCGTTTGTGGACTTGGAGTCTGCAGTCTCGGCCTTTTGTGGATGGCAAGTGGGGGAGGGACAAAATGGTGTGTGTGTGTGTGTGTGGATGCGCCACCATTGAAATCAATGGGGCTTGAATATTTGCGATTTTTCTGATTTGCAGAGGGGTCCGAAATGGATACTCTGCAAATTGGGAAGGATGACTGTATATATTTATTGGTTCCCAGTTTGCTTGTTGATCAATTCAACATGGAATTCAAGGTATTAAGTTAAAGCTCTGAATTGTTTGGAACCAAGTTATGTTAAAGGTAATGACCAACTATTTCCCCATACCTCTCAAGCCTGACTTTCCTGCTCTGGAGAGCGAAAGACCAGTGGCAGGGCAGAGAGGAGGGAGGAGAGGATTGCTGGTTTGGCATTGACTCAAACCTTTGGACAGTATTTGCCACATAATAACAAAACAACTCAACTCCAGGCATTTATTCCAACATTCAAACTCAGGAATAGCAAAAGGCAAATGCTCAGACAATCCCATCAGCAAATGCAGCTTCAGAGTTGGAAAGAAGGCTGCTTCCATGCTGCATGGGGCAAATGTAATTGTTGTAGTAGTCTGATCAAGGCCCACCATCTTCTGCATACACTTCCATGCTCTTAACACATGTTCCAGAAATCCTCCTCCAGGGTTTTCCAGCCTGTAGAAGTGATTGATGAATTTTCACATGACCTTATCAGTTGTAGTGCCTGGTCTGATCATGGGTCCCTTGAGTTCAGCATTCTGTTCCCACCATGGCACTCTTTCTGGAACAGCTTCCCAGAACTCCTGTTGGTTTAGAATTAGCCAAGTTCTTAAAACAATCAAGTAATTTGTATAAGCTTATGCAAAATGTATGCAAAGACATGATGATGATGAATTTCTCACCCACCTCTCCCCATGGATGGAGGTGGGGAACAACAACAGATTAATTGTTGTTGTTAGCTGCTCTCACATCGACTTTGACTTATGGTGACCCTGTGGATGAGACATCTGCAAGATTCCCTGTCCTTAGCCCTGCTAGGTCCTGTAAGCTCAGGCCTGTGGTCTCCCTGGTTGAGGGATCATCTGGTGTGTGGCTTCCAGCTTCAAGACTGAATCCAGGAGTGTACTCAGATTAGGAAACTTCATTTTTAGGGAGAGTGTAACCCCACATAGCACCAGCTTAATCCCTATCCCCTGATCTGCCTTTTCACTGACCAGGAGCACCCCTGTTTTGTCTGGAATGAGTTTTCATTTGTTTACTCTCATCCACTCCATTACCAGTGCCTAGTACTAGCTTAGAACTGGCACAGCTTCCTTGGACTGAAAGGAGAAACAACATAATCAGCAAAATGGTGCCTCTGAACCCCAAAACTCTGGCAACCTCTTCCCACTTCTTTCCTCTCTCACAGAAAGTGGTTTTCAGCTTCCACCCATCCACTCCCATTTCATCTCAGCAGTGTTTTCTCCCAATCCCCATAGGAACAAATGGAATCATTATTTATTGTGAAAGCTAGAAATAAATGCTGGTGAAGAAAAATGAGGAAGAGGGAGGGAGCCTCATTCTTTGGATACCCCATGACAGAGGTTGATTTTGATTCCTACTTCTTGACTATGATCTCTACTCCTCTTAAAATCATTTCAATGGAAAGGAAAGGAGTGACATAGTTTTGTCACATTCCATAGGGTCAGTTTTAAGAGGTTTGTGAGGTATTTGGCAGATGAAGCAGTATTAACGTTGGCAGCCTGCGATCTTTGGCTGACAAAGACTTTGCTCAGGCCATGCAAAGTATGTATCTGATAGCCTGGAAAGCAGGCCATTCTTCTGACAGCCTGGAAAGCTGGCCTGAGTTTTCTTCCCTACAAGGAGGGCACCAAAAAGTCACTGAAGCACATTGTGAGGTTGTTGCCTCACTATAGAACCAATGCAGTTTGACACTGTTTTAACTGTTGTGGCTCCATTTTATAGAATCCTGGGATTTGTAGTTTGCTGTGGCACTAGATCTCTATGATAAAGAAAGCATAATATCTCACAAAATATCTTGCAAAATAGGTCATAAACATTCCAGAAGACCATAGCATTGAGCCATAGCAGTTAAAGTGGTGCCAAACTGCATTAGTTCTACAGTGTAGATATATCTTCTGCAGTGAGGATACAGTGTAGATACAATCAGATGAACCTTCTTGGAATTCCATATGCCCAGCTTTGTGTTTCCCTTTTTATCTGGTTATGTCTGAATTCAAATATTGTTGCTACTCTGCCTCTTGCTGCTTTACTGCATTTTAATGTTCATGCTGGATATATTATTTTAAACTCTGGGTCAACTGCTCTGCAAAGAATTGTCTGAAATGCAGCACAGAAAACAAAGCAATGAACTCTGCTCTTCAGGGATTTCTCCATACTTTGAGCTAAATGTGTTTCACATGCAACTTAGCTTTCTTTGCTTTCCAAAAATAAGTCATAAACATGTGACTCATAAGAAGAATGATTGATGTGAGCAAGAAAAATAGATTGGAATCGTAATACCTTATAGAGAGTGCTTTACCCTCCTTAAATAATTGCCAGTTCTGGAGGTGTGGTAGAATGTGGAAAACTGACTTCTTTCTAAACAAGATCAAATGATTAGCCTGTATCCTCTAATTTGCAAACTAATTATGGTGATGCTTCAGATATTCATGAAAGAAGTTGCATGTTGTGGCATTCAATGTTAGTTGTGTGAGGTAAAAAGTCAGATTGTTCTGTAGTATACAACTATACAGCTAGTATAGATTCAGCTTTACAACCTTCAGAAAGATCCCATACAGGAGATAATGCTGTATTTCTGAAAAGCTTTACAAAAACTTCAGGAATTCTCAGAAAATTCAAACATGAGATTATGCAGAAAGAAAAGGCTGTGCCAGTGACCTTTTAAAATTAACCCATTAATGTGCCCATAGCATCGAACCATTCCAGGAAGAGATTTTCAAATAATGAAAAGCTAATGTAATTGAGTGAGCCAGTGTGGTATAGTGGTTTGAGTGTTGGACTGTGACTCTGGAGATCAAGGTTCAATTCCCTGCTCAGCCATGAAACCCATTGGGTGAACTTGGGCAAATCACATATTCTCAGCCACAAGGGAAGGTAATGGCAAACCTCCTCTGAACAAATCTTGCCAAGAAAACTCCATGATATGGCCTTGTTGTTGTGTGCCTTCAAGTCATTTCTGACTTATGGCAACCCTAAGGCCTATCATGGGTTTTCTTGGCAAATTTCTTCAGGTTTTTTTTTTTTGTCATTGCCATTGCCATCATCTGAGGCTGAGAGTGTGACTTGCCCAAGGTCACCTAGTGGGTTTACATGGCCGAGCTGGGATTTGAACCCTGGTCTCCAGAGTCCTAGTCCAATGCTCAAACCGCTATGCCAGCCTGGCTCATGATATTGCCTTAGGGTCACCATAAGTCAGAAATGACTTGAAAGCACACAACAACAATCAATATCAATGACCCGTTGTTACCTCAAATGGGTTTTTCCTATTATCAAAGCCAGGAAAGTCTCATCCATATGTGTGTTGACCTGTTTGTTGTTGTTATTATTAAGTGTCACCTTTGACTTCAACAATGACAGTCCTGTCATCAATCAGTAGTCCTGCTCAGGTCTTGCAAACTCAGAGCCGTGGCTTCTTTTATTGAATCTACTCAACTGTAATGCATTTCTTTCTCTCTTCCCACCACCTTCTATCTTAACAAGCATCATTGTCTTTCCTAAAGATTCATGTCTTCTCATGAGACCTCTTATCTTAAACATTATTGTGAAATGTCATCCTTTGCTAAAGATAAATGAGAAGCTATTTAAATAGTTAACAGAGAGAGATATTGCCCAGATCTGATTTAGTAAAAGGTATCTGTGAACTTATTGAACCAGATGTTAAATACAACCTTCCTTCTTTCCTTAGGCTTTGTGAGTATTACTCAGGACTCACAAAGATCATCACTACTATATTGCTCTCTGCAACATGCATTCACATTGGCAGAGTAGTATTTTAAACTGCAAATTCAAGCCAGATAGTAATCTTAGAAACATTGTGAACTCGTCATTGCTGCTTTTGTGTTTTTGGTAGATACTGTCCCATCATGCATTCTGGATGCCTTCATTATATACTATGGCAGCAACCACTTTTGTGCCAGGGAAAACTCCCAACTTGCTTTAGAATGAACATGGAAGGCCCTTTTCTAAAAAAGAGATTTATCATTCTGCACTTTATTTTGTTTATAACTAGCATTAGTTTCCTGTCAATCATACCTATTACTGCACTCATTGGTTAAAAACACTGAAGATTTCTTGCAAAACAAATGGATGCAACAGTGCTTGCCCATATTGCCTAGTATGCCTGGCTCTCTATGGAATTGCTTTCTTCAATCATCATCATCATCAGCAGCAGCAGCATGATCATGATTATCATGATGATCATGATGATCATCATCATCATTCCCCCCTAAAGCTGAGCTAGTTATGAGTAAGCATTGGTTAGCATAGGTTGAACCAGGTTAAACTTTGTCAGTCAGGCAATATGGCAGTCCTATGGTGGCTCTTGGCATGCATATATCTTAAAGTTGGAATAGAACTTATTCTGGTACACTTCACATTCTCATTCTCTATGGTAATTTTAAAAGTAGATTTAAATATTAGACTGACCTACTTTACAATTGTTGTTATTGTTGTGTACCTTCAAGTTATTCCTGACTTATGGTGACCCTAAGATATCATGGGTTTTCTTGGCAAAATTTGTTCAGAGAAGGTTTGTCATTGCCTTATATATCTAATTACAACCAATTAATCTTTCAATAAGAAGTGTTACATATAATCGTATATAGATGATATATTTATAAGAAAACACCATAACAAATGCATTTTTCAGACAGAAATAGAGAGTACTGTATATAATTTCAAAAAATTGCATCAAACTTGGAAAGATTAATAAGAGAAGAATTATTAATGACAAAATTGAAATATGGAGGTCATTTCTCATAAAAATTGTCTAATAGATTTGGAATTTAAGCACTTTTACTTATGTTGTTAATTTTTCCATACAAGCAATATTCAACCCAACTGATAGTAGTTCCCTAAGGCTGATGCAATTATTCTGTAGATGCAAGTTAGTGAATTTGGTTTTGGATGAAGCATATAATTTGAGAGCACTGTAGCAATAAAATATAATCAGTAGCAGAAAAGGTGGTGGTTGTCAGTTTTACTGCAGTATGAAGTAATTATGCTGTCAGTATTTTCACCTTCACAAGGCCTCACAAGTCACCTTGGCTATGCCTTGCTAAAAGTGTCTGTTTTAATAAGTCAGCTTTGGGTGTTCTGTCCTGATCTTTTGCGACACACCTTATCTGGGTATGATTGCATGCTATAATTATTAATTTGTGGGTTCATTTTTAAGGCATTTGTAAAAATTATACATCTATATGTTTTTATCAGTTTAAACATTTATATACAGTAAGAGTCACCTCCTTTCTTTAAAGAAATTTGGGAACTCAGTTAACAAAGCTTTTACAAAGCTTTTTTATACCCATCCATTCCTTCCTTCCTATTTTTCCTCCTCCTCTCTTTAGATGGAGGTTTTGATAGCAGCTTTGGCACTAGTGAAGGAGGGCTGGATAAACACAGACTTTCTACACTGGGTTGCAGCAGTGTGCGTGTAGTAAACACTACACTAAACAGTAATGCTTGAGCTGGGAAGGAATGGTGTTTTTCCCCCCTATCTGATCCTATTGTAGCTGAGTGTGTCTGCCTGTAATAGGCAAGGCAAACAGCAGCTGCCTTCTGATATCCTGTATCAGAGTTGCAGTTCTGTAAGTGGACTTACATATGCAGACATTAGAATTGGACAGTTTCAGAACATCTATATCCAGTAGAGAGCTGCTGTTACGTTATTATGTAGCAGAGTTGGCAAAGTGCACAGTGGGCATTGTTCACTGATGTGCTTCACATACCGAGGTGCTCCAGACACTCTTGCTAGTGTCCCAATATGCATCTTTGCAATTCACTAACAGAGAATTTCTTAGTGCCTCTGCTACTTATCTAAGTATAAAGTTACATTAAGTAAAAGGTGATGTAGAATTCTGGTGGACAGATCTATAAGCTTGGACACCAACGAGGAAATCCTAAGAAAAGTGGAGGCTAAAGAATTAAAAAGTCATCACTGGATGCATTTTGGAAGCAGTTTTTAAATGATATCTAGAAGGTTCAAAACATTTTTATTTACTTATGCAAGGCTCATCTCGCTTGTTTCATTTCATATGTTCTGGTTATTAGTTTTTGATAAAAGGTTTGCTAAAATGATGTGCTGTTCTTTTTTTTGTGGTACAGGAGCCTATCCCTATTCTTTCCCTGTTGTTTATGTCCCTGGTACCAAAATTTCTGTTACAGAAGAAATGCCCAGAAACATGTCTTTATAGTTCTGTTGAGAAGAGATTGAGAAGTAAGCTACAGTCCTCAGGAAGTGATTATGGCTGAATTGGTATAAAACAGATAAACTCTACTTGCACACATGTAAGATGAAAGTAGGAAGTGGATTTATTTAAGTCCTATCAGCAACATTCTTGCACACCTGGCTTCCTTTTAGAACTTCAAGTGTTACCTGGCCTTTCAAGCAGAGGAGCTATGGTGCATTCAGTTGAACGTGATTACAGAGCCCTTTCCAGGCCTTTGCACTGAATGCATAAACATATAACAACCAGTCATGGGTGACTTGGGACAGGGTTTATGGGTGCACCTCTTCATGAATGTATCTGGCATGGGCCTTCTACTTGCCATATACTTAACCTGTTGCATAAATGCTTGTTGCATCCTGTTTTGTCAGTTCTGATGTCATAGGTTTCTGCTACCCAGGCCTTCTTCCATAGCAGTCTACCCTTTTCTTTCCCCAACCCAATCAGCCTCTACAGCTAAAGAGATATCAGTGAAAAAGAGATATTAGTTGCCTGTTACTTCTACCTCCTTCTCCATGATTATGTTTTTATTGACAGGGAAGGTTGACTGACTCGTAGGGAAGGAGAGATCATGGGCAAATCAGTTGGGCTTGTCAACTGTTCATATAATGGCATGACAACTCTTTCATGGGGAATCCCAAGTCCATCTGATTTCTCTTCAAACTTGGAGGGGGCTTGCATATCTCTAGACCCCATTTTCTTTTCTCCAGAGCTCCTCTTCCTATGCAAAATCTGCTGTGTGTCATTTAAACCACAGAAAATGTGCTAAACCAAAAGGTGGGTGAGTGATCTGACTGTCATGGATTAGTGCAGACAGCTTGCTTCCGTGTGGATAACAACCAAGAGTTCCAGTAACCAGTTGCCCAAGCTCAGCTTCTTTATTCTGGAACCTTCCAGATATTTTGGACTACAGCTTCCATCAGTTTCAATCTGTATAACTTGTGGTTAGGGATGATGAGAACTGAAGTACAAAACTTCTAGAAGGATCTAAACCAACCCAAGTAAAGAGAGAGTGGCTGAATATTTACAGTGGTGAAACTTCCAGCACTTGTTAAACACCTCGTTTAGCCAGTATAGTTGCTTGCATTCTTGGAGTTCCATCTTAATTCTTAAACTCTGGATCTCAGCATTTTTCACCCATCAACACCCAGACTGCCGGTGGCCATGTTCTCATTTTGGAAAAAGAAGCACACTGGTGGCACCTACCCACTAATTGTCAGTTCACCCTGATTTGCCTTGCAGATGTGTAGTTGAAATATCCATCTGTTCAATTACAACTGAGGTACACTTAGGCAAATGATGTGGACAGAAGAGTGACATCTGGTACTATAGCAAACAGCCTCTTTAATATACAGTATGTGATCAGCAGCCTTCCAGAAAGCATTTTTACCCAGAACTGAGAAAACTGAGAAAGGCTTCTTGTGTGGAAATTGGTTTCAGGGCTTTTTGTTATCATTATTAAAAAGGTGGCATTTAGTCTGTGTTTTAATACAACTGGGATTTATTGTGAACCTGATATTCCTGTAGGTGTTGTGGCATTCAGGTTACACCTTTGGGAAACAGGCAACTGTTTTATGGTAGAATTCATAACTACCT